AATTGTCTGTTCAGATCTACTGTCCATTTATTAAATTGGGTCCTTTGTGTTAGTAAATTGGATAAAATTTTTACATATTATACAGCCTTGTTGGTTGTGTGATATTTAAATATTTTCTCCCATTCAGTAAGATGACCTTTTTATCTATATAAATTTTCTTTTGCTGTGTAAAAAAGTTTTTAAGGGCCTCCCTGGTGATGGCAGGGGGTTAAGTCTGAGCACTCTGAAGCTATCCACCACCACTGCAGTATGAGTTTGATCCCTCTGGAGGGAGCTGACCCACATGGCACAGCTGACCTCTCCTGTCTTGCCTGCTGCTCCCTTCAGCAGTGTATTTTGGTCAGTCCTTCTGTTCTGCTTCCCACTCGTGAATCCTCTCACTGCCCCCCACCTCTGACTACACTACACCCCAGCTCTTATATGCATAAATAAAAAAATTTTTTTTAAAGATTTATTTATTTGTGCATACAGAACTGGAGTACAGGCCAGAGGCTCAGGGGCGGTGAGAGGCTTCACCAGAGACAGAGTGGGGAACAGAACAGGCAGATCGACGGAGCACACTGCTGAAGGGAGCAGCGGGTAGATCAGGAGAGGTCTGCCACACCATGTGGTCACCTCCGGAGCAGGCGGGAATCGAACTCATGCGGAAGCGGCTTTAGATTTTCAGGGCTGTGCTTTAACCCGCTGCGCCACCAGGGAGGGCCGCATAAATAAAATTTTAAAAAAGCTTTTAATTTGAGGTGATCCCAATTGTTTGTTTTTGCATTTATTTCTCTGGTTATAGGGGTGGAGTCACCAAAAACTTCATTAGTGTGATGAAGTACATCACCAGTATTTTCTTCTATATATTATTTCAGGTCATATATTTAGAATTTGTGTGTGTGTGTGTGTGTGTGTGTGTGTGTGTGATTAGAGAATGATCCAATTTATTCTGTTACATGTGGTTGTCCTGTTTTGCCAGCACTATTTGCTAAAGAAACGTCCCTTTCCCTATTGCATAGTCATAGCTGTTTTTATCATGAGTTGTTTTTTTGTACTGATATATGCATGGATTTATTTCTGGACATTTAAGATCTGTTCCATTGATCCATGTGTCCATTTTATTACACCATCATATTGTTTTTAATTACTGTTATTTTATGTAAAAGTATAGCTTAAAGTAAGATAACTCAGTTACTTTTATGGTTCCATATAAATTTTAGTATTTTTTATTCAGTTTCTTTGAGAAACACTGTTGACATTTTGATGGGGATTACATTAAATTTATTTATTGCTTTTCTTCGAATAGCCACTTTGTATTGGTTTTACCATTCTGTGTAATGTCTCTCCATTTCCTTTTATCATGATTTTAATCCTTTAATAATGTCTTGCAGTTTTCACTGTGTAAATCCTTCATCTCCTTGGTTAAGTTAATTCTTGTTATTGACTGTTTTTGAAGTGATTCTGAATGGAATTATTTTCATAATTTTTCTTCTTGTACATTGTTTAAAAATGCAACTGATTTTTTGCCTGGTTCTGTAAACTCCCACTTTGCTGTGTATATTTATTATTTTTGATTGCTGTTGGGTGCAAACTTTAGGGGTTTTATATATAATATCATCTGTAAATAAGAATAGTTTCACTTCTTTTCCAACATGGATTCTTTTTTATTGTTATTTGACAGTTCTAGTTAAAACTCTAATACTAAACAGAAGTGGCCTCAGTAAGCATGTTTGTCTTCTTAAAGGGAAACCTTTGGGATTTTCACTATTAGGTATTCTAAAATGGCCTTTACTAAAGTAGTTTCCTCCCATTTTCATCTTGTTCATTTTTTAATCATCAATGGTTGCTGAAGCCAATTTTTAAAAAAGATTTATTCATTTATGAATACAGAATTGGGGTAAGGCCAGACATGTGGGGGGGGGCAATAAGAGGATTCACCAGAGAGCAGGGGAGCAGAACAGGCAGATCATCGAAGTACACTGCTGATGGGAGCATTAGGCAGGTCAGGAGAGGTCTGCCAGCCATGTGGGTCACCTCCCAGCCAGGGAATATGACTCAGTGCTGCAGTGGTTGCGGATCGTTTCACATTGCTGCGCTTTAACTTGTTGCACCACCAGGGAGGGCCTGAAGCTATTTTTCAGTGTATGCTAGAACTTCTATTATTTAAACTGCTTGCTGGAATAAGTGTTGTCTAAGGTGGTGTTTTCCATAGGACCACCTCTGTTCTACCAAATGCTTGTGAGTGAGCATCAGCAAACCTGGATCACCGAGGCCAATTCCAGAAGCTTAGGTTATTAGAGAGTGGCAGCCCTGTAAGACCTGCTTACATCAGTTTTTCTCTTACTTACTGGTGTAACTCTGAGTTCCCTACACAGGGAGTAGTTTCACTTGGGTTCCCTCCACTTTGCCCTGATCAGACCCTGAACTCTAATGTTTGTTGTCTTGACCCTGGGAAGGCTCAGCCCCACATTTCTGTTAATAATCTGGTTAGCAGATGCTCTAAGGGTAAAAAGAACCAGCTTTGTCTTTCTAGCTCTCTGCCCTTGTTGAATCCTAGCCTGGTAATTCTTTACTGTCTTATAGTTTTCACATGCCTTCAGGTAGATGTGTTTAGTCGTCTCGTCAAGGTTTTAGAATTGCCCTCAATGTTAGAACTGATCTTAATCACCTCATCTGCCATCACTGGAAGTGGCGTTTCTTTTAATTTTGTTTTCCACTGAAAACATATTTGTTGATCAAACCCAGTGAACACTTCTGGACCATAGTGGGTAAAGAGAGACCCAGTCCATGGCCTCCAAGCCTCTGCTGCTCTCTCTGCAGACCCTGGTGTCTCAGTGTTGCGGCACACTGGGTGTTTAGGGGTCAGCTTAAGTGTCATTCCCTGCCCTCCTGCAGCCTGCCACCTGCCCTTCCCTTCTAAAACCTCCAGTCTTTGTGGGCCAGTAGTCACCACTCAGCTTTGTCCCTGTCCTTCTCAGCTGGTCTCTTGAGTTGCACTCCTGATTTCAACTGTCCTTCTGGAGTGAAATTTTCCCAGCCTAATTACTGCCCTTTAGGGCCATAGGAGTCCATCTGAGCATATCCTGTCCTCTCCAGCCTCATGACATATAAACTGTTCACCTCAATACACCCCACACTTTACTGCAAGTGTCTTAGAACATACTAGTTTCTCCTTTCAACTCAGCATCATCTTCTTTGGGAAGCTTTCCCTGATTGAGCTCCCTAAACCAGCAGTCTTCTCCTGCTCTGTCTGACCCAACGGCAAGCATCTTGAAGAAAATAACAGTGTCTTGTTCATTTCAGCATCTCTAGTACTAGATGCTTAAGAGATTCAGTTCAAGTGGGATGATTTCATTTCAAGAGTTCCACAGGTTCCCAAATACTTTGTAGTTTTCACAGGTCTCAAGAAGAATCAAGAATACTTTTTTCCCAAGAACCCATCCTTTTTCTAGCCCTTAATAGAAGGCAGGCCTGTAGTTTATTCCTGTATATGCCTACTCTATAAATGCAACAACTTGTGGAACAATGACAGTGGACTGCCACCTGCTGGTGAGAAAGTTTCTAGGCCAGTGACAGATCAGGACTGCAGCCAGATTAGGGGTTCATTGTTTCACAAAGAATACAAATGCCTTCTCAGAATAAGATTTTCAAATGCACAATGTAAAGCACATAGATTCTAAGTGAAGCCAGTCATAATCGAATATAGTTATATTAGAAATGTGATCATTTGTATATGTGACAGATGTGTAATGTGGTATATATTGATATTGCTCATAAAGATGTGATAGTTGTAACTACTAAAATTTTGAATTGAGGAGCAAAAGTGGTATTTTGAGATATCAGCAACAGTTGTAATGTGAGATGTCTGTGCTTTCTGCTGCTGATAATCACAGGTTCTGTTGTTACAAGGTTGTTGCCTATGCCCAAAAGGCATAAACTAAGGTTTACGAAATGAAAAATATTTTCTCATCCAGATACAAAGACACCTGGAATCTTGCCCATGGATCCCTTCTTGAGCAGTGTCCATTAATCCCCGGTTAAGAACCCCTAAATGGCGTTTTAGAAGCATGGCACTTTTATATGTTATTATTGTTTTACTTTTTTTATTGTTTTAAAGATTTATATATATATTATATATATATATATATTTTAATATTTAACTTATTTGTGCATCCAAGAACTGGGGTATAGGCATGGGGAAAGTGAGAGGATTCACCAGAGAGAATAGGGAGCAGAACAGGCAGATCTACTAAAATACACTGCTGAGGGGAGCAGCAGGGAAATAGGAGAGGCCTGCTGTACCACCAGGGAGGCCCCTTAAAGATTTACTTTATGTGTACAAGAGCTGGTGTAGACTAGAGGTGCAGGGGAGAAGGTGTGAGAGGACTCACCAGAGAGCTAATGGGGAGAACAGATGAGCTGACTGAAATACACTGCTGAGGGGAACAGTGGGTGAGACAAGAGAGGTCTGATGCGCCGTGTGGGTCACCTCTGTGGCTGGGGATTGAACCCAGTGGCTACAGATAGCTTCATAGTGCTGAGACTTAACCCTTGGGACCACCAGGGAGGCCTACGGTGCCATTTTTAAATACTGTGTAATGGCCAGTAGTTAAGTGCCTATGGAGCACTGGCTGAGATTTTATAGCAGTTAGGGGCAGAGAGGCATTGTGGAGGAGACAGTACTGCTCAAAGGTCCAATTTTGAATCCATGGCTGTCATTTAAGAGCATAGCAGGGTTTTCTCATCTATAAAATGGGATGACAGTGTTCTGAAAACATCGAATATCTTAACATGCAAAAACCCTTGGAGCTCAAGTGCTTGAACATACACACTCCAAGAAATGTCCAGAGTCTGAGCTCAGAAGATAGTGAATCCTTTCCTGCCAGCAAATGTTTAAGTCTGCCTGCTTTTCCTACTCCAAGAAAACAACCCCAAATGCAAATAGTACTTCTGGCCATGTTATTTTATTAGAAGCATATTTACATTCATGTAAGTTAACTTTGCAAAGAACATTTTACAAAAGTTTTATATAAAGCTTGGAAACTACATAAAAATAACTTCTATTCTTCATAAAGGGAAAATATAAGTTAGTTATATTTACTCTGCTAAAAATTGACTGAAAAATGAGAAATACCTCCTTACAGAAGAAAACATTAGCACAGGGCATGGGGAATACTGCATGCTTTTCAGCTGCGGGTATTGCACATTGGCTCAGTTGTGAGGCTGGGAGACTAAACCAGCCCCCATCCAGAAAGGACAGGAGAGCTGTTAGGTCTTAGCTTTCAGGCAGCACTGAGCACAGAAGCAGCAACTCCTTGAACAAGATTCCAAGGTGGACAAGCCAAATAAGGGCAAGATTAAAGGCTTTCCGCCTAAACATGGAAACTGGAATTAATACTCTCACACCACGCTGCAAAAAAATAGCATTGTAGACAAAGCCCAGCGGTCCTTTCTGATCACCCTCCTGGCTTCGGCTACCAGAACGGGGAGTGTGCTCTGTACTGCTCTGCTGCTAGCTCATGTCTTGCTAGCACCTGCGCAGCAGAGATTAAAGCAGGACATTGCTTTATTTCACTTCTCTCATTCGGGTGAGACCTGGAAACTGTCCACCTGGGCCAACTACTGAAGCAGGGAAGCCGAGTGCTCGCTCACTCCTTGCTCTCTGCAAGGATCCTGCCTTCCTGCAAGTCCCCAAGTGTCTTTTCCTGCTGAGTGGCTTACCATTACTTTCCCAGTCATTCATTACAGCCAGTGCGAAGATTATTTGCAAGGAATTGTTCTAGAAAAACAAAGTGTCAGCTTTGTTATTTGTTTATAGGAGATAATCTTCCTGAAACTTAACGTTTGTTTCAAGTTAAATATCAAGGTGAACAGCTTTCTTCATAAATAAAATGAATGCTGGTTTGAGCATTCGCTTTATTATGTTATCTACACTCTCTCCCCTGTGAGGATCAGGCTCTGTGGGAGGCAGCTGAGTAAACTGAAGGCTGAGGACCCCAGACACAGAAGTTCTCTTTCTGTTATGCTCTTGGGGCACGCACATGAATCACCATCTCTCCCCAATGCTTTTTCTTCCTGGACAAAAGTCCAGGTGATTGTCAGCTTCGGTCTCAAGCGTCAAACCAAGTATAAGACCTGCACGAGGCAGGAGAAACACCTGCCACATTGTCTGTAGCAGGTTGGTGAACATGAGTTGGGGCACAGGCTGGGCTGTGAATGAGCACTTTGCATGGTAAGGAATTTCTCTGTGAATGCAGGCTCCCCAATGGGAGCCAAAATGTGCTGAACCAGCAGTGCAGCCTGTGCCCTATGGTGCCAGCACCCAGCATGCACCAAGCCAGTGGTCTTAGCTGACATGCGCAGTGGCACAGGCTCGGAAGCAAAGGTGTTCCAGCCCACCTGGCCACAAGAGGCCCTGGGGGGCAGCAAGCCTGGGTGGTGCCAGGGCTCTAAGCCTGTGTGTGCAGGAAGGGGAAACACAAGATGGCACAAACACCAAGACCAGGAGAAGGGATGTTTCAGGCTCTCTTCCCCTCTACTACCGTAGACAAGGCCTTTCTTGAACACCCCCTAGAGTAGCTGGCTGCAATCTGGTCTCCGCAGGGAATGAAATGTTGTTGGGGCAGTGATCCTTATCTGAAATAGAAGAGAATGTCTGAGAAGCCACCAACAGTTATAGTATGGACAAGCCCGTGATGACATCAGCAACAGTGTGTGGTGCCAGCAACAGCGAAACTGGTGTTTTGGCAAACAGGAAGTACCTCAAGGTCATAGAACACCCGCTCCTCTGGGACTTCGGCCCCACCAACAGCCCAAATCACTTACAGCTTAAAGGCACCTGGAGCTCAGAGAACATACATTAGGGTGAGGTGACATAAAGTGAAACCTTGCCCTCTAAGAGTGCGGGAGCAGCCAGGAACACTGGGCAGACCCCTGGGCACAGCTGGGTGGAATGAGGCAGGGAGTTGGCGTGGAAGCAAGGGCAAAGATGGGTCCTGAGTTTTTTGTTCACAGAAAATGGGAAACCCCAGCAGCAGTCTTGGGTAGCTGTTACGAAGCATCTGTAGAGCTGTAGGGGAAGAACTTGGCAGCCTTGTTTGGGGTGGTGGGGTTTAGGCACTCAGTTTCCTCATTCAGTTTGAAGAACATCTCTTGCTCCCTCTTCTTCTGGTTCAGATCTTCTTCCAGAGCCTGGGTGGACAGAGGGCAGACAGAGCTGGTCAGCATCACAGAACACAGGTCTCTCAACCACAGGACCCCCCTCCCTTTCCCAGGCCATAGTGTTTGGGTAACTTGATCCTCCCAGAGCCCACTCCCCTCTCCTTCCTCAGCCACACAGTGGTTCTGTGAACCAAGGGAAAATTCATGTGCTTTCTTACCCCAACTCCACCCCAGATTCTGAGTCCAGAGATTTGTGGTAGGCTCAGGAGTTCTCTGTTAGAAAAGGTCACCCCATAACTTGAAGGAGAGAGGGATGGACCTGTTCCTTTGGGTGCATGCAAGTTTATCTGGATAAATTAGATCCTTCCAGAAAAACTTTGTGAGGATTCTCCATTAGTAAGCATTCAATGGAGAAAGTAGGCAATAAGCTTGGTGGGCAGAGAGTTCAGCTTCATTGTCATTGGCGTATGATCTCTGCAAGTTGCCTTTCCTTCCTTGAACTTTTTCTGTGTGGGAAGTAGCAGCATGGCCACCTACCTAAGGTGTCAAAGAGTAAAAGTAAAAACCACTTGGTCATGATAACCTGCCACTGTGCCAGACTTTACTCTCTGAGGTTCAGATACTGTCATCCCCATTTTATAGATGCAGAAACTGAGGCTCTCAGAGAGCCGAGGTTACTTGTCAGAGTCACTGTTATAGGGGAGCATGGCCAGGATGGGGCCTTTATCTCCTTCTCTCTTGCCCAATGCGTTGCTATTAGGCACTGTGCTGTTTCCACCTACTACCTACATACATTTACCTAACTAGAGTAGGAATTGGCATTTTTCTCTAAAGGACCAGATGGTAAATAATTTCGGCTTTGTAGGACTATATGGTGTCTGTTATGAACACTCGAGCCCTTTTAGTGCAAAATCAGCCATAGACATTATTTAATTGAGCAAGCATGGCTATGTTCCAATGAAACTTTATTCAGAAATACAGGTGGTATTTAGCCAATCCGCTGTTAATTAACAAATGCCTTAGAGGAAGAGATGTTAACTACAACCCAGGCAATACTACTGAATTTGCCAGACATTCCACACTTACTTGAAAGAAATGTATTTCCTAGGTAGCTAATGACAACATTTCTACAAAGAACTGTGCAAGAAAAGCAGCCAGCCTCTACAAGCAAGATTCAGTGGCAGTTCCCAAACACATCTGTGGCATGGGGCAGTTGCACTAGACAACATGATCATTCCTTTTCAATCTCAGAATATGCAAAGGGTACAGCAACCTCAGGTAGGAGATACCACAGTTAATCCTTGTCAGTAGGGGCATGTTTAATTTTATCAAGAGTCACAATAGGCCATGGCTATAGAAACTAATGAGCATGGGCTTACTAACAGAAGAACTGGGACCCTGGCCACCTTCCAGCCAGAAAGTTCCATTAGCACTAGGAGGGAACCTTCACTTCAAGGACTTCCAAGGCCATTGCAAAGCTGAGGTCAGCAGCTACCTGATTAGGCCACAGTTAGGGCAGGCAGAGCTGATGTGTGATGGAAAAGCAAACCTCAGCACTCAAGACAAGTGAGACGCTTGGTCAAGGGTATTAGAGCAGCTCTCCTCAGATTTCAGGGGACTGGAAAGAAATAAGAATGTTGGCCTCTGCTATGAGCTGGCAACTTTTTGTATAAATACTATACAATATTCATGTCTCCACTGAGACCCACACTGAGGTCCTTGGACAGTTCATTTTATGTGTAAATTTGGTGAGGCAATATATCCCGTTGTTTGGTCAAATACCAGTGGAGATGTCATTGTGAAGGAATTTTTCAGATGTAATTAACACTAACTCAGTAGACTTTGAGGAAAGCAGACCATCATCCATAATGTGGGTAGGTCTCGCCAAATCAATTGAAGCCCTTAAGAGAAAGATTGGTCTCCCTGAGGAAGAAGGAATTCTGCCTGAGACTGCCCTGTGACTCTCCCCTGCAGCCTTCTCTACAGATTTCATAAGTTAACGGGAACAGTGAGCCAACTCCTTAGAATACATCTGCTCTCTCCCTCTTTATATATGTGTGTAAATACACACATAGAATCTTGATGAATACAAGCCCAGAGAGGTAAGATGCAGCATCCTACAGCTTTTTTTTTTCCCTTCTGGTCACAAAGCACAAATTTCTAGATTATTATTGAGTGATATATGAGAGCTCTCCCAAACTCCCTGATGCCATCCTAGTCCAAATCTTTTCTCAGATTACTATAGTAGCTTCTTTACTGGTCTCTGTCCCCTACTAGGCACTAGAGGGGTCCTTTTCAAAACATCCATCAGATCATGCCCTCTTCAATTCAGAACATTCAAGGCTACATAGGACATGGTAACAACCACCATCGCAGACTCAAACTATGCTCGCCGTTGTTCCTTGAACATGGCAAGATATTCACACTTCAGGGCGCTTACAGTTGCTCTTCCTCAGCCCAGAAGAATTCTGCCTACCACCAGAGAGCTGCGTCGCTCCCCCTTGTGTTCTTCAGATCTCAGCTTTTCCATGCGGTCTCCCTGCCATGCCATCAAGTGCAGCCCTTACTTCCACCTCACAGTGATTTATTTTCCTTCACTAGAAGGTGAACACTCTGAAGGCAGAGACTTGTCTGTTTTGTTGAATGTAGTAACATATTGTGGGGCTCCTGGCATGTAGGCAGGAAATATTTGTTGCGTGACTGAGTGTCAAACTAACACTAGCAGACAACTGTATTATTGTGTGCCAAGTACCATGGCTAGAAGGTTACAGAGGCCAGGAGACAGTTGTATGGCTTAAGTTGGGCAGGCCTGACTTCTGACAGCAAGGAGAAGTTAGCCAAGCAAACACTGATGGAAAAAGAATATTTGGCAGAGGGAATCTAGGCAAAAAAAAAGACCAGCAGGGAACACCATTGAAATCCTAAAGAATACTGAAATCTGCTTGAAGCACAGGTAGAAGTTGAAACTAGCAGACTAGGCTAGAGCAATAGTTCCCAAAGTATGTTCCTTAGAACCCTGGAAGGTGGTTCTCTGCATTTCTCACTGGTATAGTTTGCCTTTTTCACTATTTTGATATTTTAATAGAACAAAAATGGTGGGGGAAACTGTTAGAAATTCAGGAAGAATAAATACAGTGGGACCAAAATATACAATTATTCTTCACTACCATGTACTTAATATTAATAGTAAGAAAAAAGTCTTTGACGATTCATTTTATTAGATCTAGACTGCCATGGTCTTTAATATTCTATGCAACGAAGTGGGACACTCACCTACCACACACTTTGCTGCAAAGAATGATAGGTATCCAGAGACATCAATTTATTTATTCATGCATACAGAACTGGGGTACAGGCCAGAGATAGAGTGGGGAGCAGAACAGGCAGATCTATGAAGTACACTGCTGAGGGGAGCAGTGGGTGGGTCAGGAGAAGTCTGCCGCACCATGTGGTCACCTCCAGGGCGGGTGGGGATCGAACTCATGTGGAAGTGGCTTTTAGCTGCTAGTGCTGTGCTTTAACCCGCTGCACCACTAGGGAGGGCCCATCAATTAACTGCTTTTTTATGGAACATCATTTTTATTAATGGAATAAGTTCCATTAAGTTCTGGTTAAAGTGAGCATACCAGTTCAAAGAAAATATTTATTGCCAATGACAAAATTTAAAGGGTTGAGGCAGAAATTAAAAACTTTTAGAAAACTTGTGCCTGCTCCCCTGAACTTGATAGCTTCTCAATATTTAAAGATCTCTCTGATGAGACAAGTGATAGTAATGGCTGTGAAATTTTTGCTGTTGTATAATGCAGCACATTAACATTTTTCCAAATGACCAATGCATATTGTTACAATATCATACTTAGGGGAAAATTCTGTTCAAGCACAAGAGACAGGCCAGTGGACTCTAAAGTAACAGCATGAAAATGCACTCATGGGTTCAGGTTCTACACTGCAGCTAAAGTTCACCCTACTGTCCCAAAGCATAATGTTTTGAAAGTAGGTTATTTTTGGGATTCTGGAATGCTGTCACCACTAATGTATATGGAAAGAGATCTGGAGCAGTCTTCTTTTTTTTAAATATTTATTCATATGGAACCAGAGTACAGGCCAGAGATGTGGAGGGTGATAGGATTCACCAGAGGCAGAACAGGCAGATCTACAAAGTACACTGCTGAGGGGAGCAGCAGGCGGGTCAGGAAAGGTCTGCCTCGCCATGTGGATCTCCTCCAGGGCAGGCGGAAGTGGCTTTAGCTTCTTAGTGCTATGTTTTAACCTGCTGTGCCACCAGGGAGGGCCCTGGAGCAGTCTTCTTTTAAGTAGACATTAGATTTGCTCCATGTAAAAACACCAATCTTACAAATTTAATTTGAAAAAATGTCATTTTTCATGGAAATCTGCTATTTCAATAATGGCACATAATATTTTAAGTGGAGTAATAATTTCTCAATGTTCAACTAAATTTCTAATGTCGCAAATATCCATATATAAAAACAAAAAGCTCAGGAACCATTAGGCTAGAGGGTGAGCATGGCAGGTGGGAAGCAATGGCCTAACGGGAACGAGAGAGCAGCACTGAGCGGAGGAATGACACACAAGAGCAGGAAAGAGTAGACAGAGTGGCACTCAGGTTGGTTGTTAGGCTGTCCATTCACCATGGCATGGAGGGAAGACATGGATTGCATTTAGAACATGCTATGGTAGAGCACATGGGAACTTTATATTGATAAGAGGGTTGTTTGGGCAGGACACTGAGATTTGGGGGCAGAGCTTGGAAGTTTTGAATGGAGCCATGGGAATGATCTCAGGTAGGGAGTGTGTTCACACCCAACAGAGGGACCAGAGACTAGGAAAGTGGGCCCAGGAGGCTAGGCCTGATCAATAGTGCTAGCAGCTAGGAGATTCAGCCACAAGGATGTTACTACTTACCTGGGCAAAAGGGGAAAAAACACAGGGCTGAAGGAAAGCAGGGTTTCTAATGGTGAAAGCATGGTAGACAGAAATCTGAGACTGGCCCTAATGGTTCCTCTCTATACCATGCCTCTCCTATTTGTGCATGGTTAGAACCTGTGAATCTGCTGTCACTCCTTGCAAGGAGAGAGTTATCCAGTGGGCCTAATCACATGTGTCTTATAAGAGCTTAGTCCATCTAGAAACCAGAGGGGACATCAGAGAAATTCAGAGCATAATGAAGTTTTATGCAAGACTGCCATCTGAAGATGGGAGGTGCATGATAAGGAGTGAGGGTGGTGCCACAGCAGGGAGTGGCCCCTGGTAGAGCTACCTTACAGTTACAAGGAACTGCCTGTGTCAAAACAAGCTTAGAGGTAATTCTTCCCAAGAACCAAGCCAGTATCTTGAATGTGGTCTTGTTGAGATCTATTGGAGTCCACCTAGATTTTTTACCTCCATAAATGCATGATAAAAATAAATGGGTATTGGCCCTCCCTGGTGGCGCAGCAGGTTAAAGCACAGCACTAAGAAGCCTAAGCCACTTCTGCATGAGTTCGATCCTCGCCTGCCCCGGAGGTGACCACATGGCGTGGCAGACCTCTCCTGACCCGCCCGCTGCTCCCCTCAGCAGTGTACTTCGTCGATCTGCCTGTTCTGCTCCCCGCTCTGTCCCTGGTGAATACTCTCACCTCTGCATCTCTGGCCTATACCCCAGTTCTGTATGAATAAATAAATCTTAAAAAAAAAAAAAATGGGTATTGGTTTTAAGCTACTAAATGTGTGGCATCTGCACTGGATTTTGACTTCTTAGAGTACTTTCTTCTAAGAAAAAATCCCACTGATTCATACTCAGTACTGCATCCTCTATGGATATCACAAGGTTATGATCCCCTGAGACAGAGTGAAAATAAAAATGTCTGGACTAGTGCAGCAAGGAGGCTGCATTCACAGAGTATGGAAGCCACACAGCATTCAGCGACAGTTGGAAAGGTCTTCTCCCACTCAGGCCAGAGACCACTGTGTGGATGCTAAGCAAGAGTCCACCAGTGCCAACATGGTTACCTTTTTGCGTGGCCGGAGCTGGTCCCGCCATTCCTTCAGGTTCTGGTTATGGCACTCATCTAGGGCCTTCAACTTCTGGGTTTCATGCTCTACCAGGAGGTGACACTTTTCATTCTGGAACAAATTCCAGGCAGAATAGGTAAGTTGAGAAGCAGAGGCCTTGAGGACTGAGCCACACATACATCACCACGAGGGCACCAGCATATTCTCATTTCACTTCTCCTGAATTATAAACTCCATTTACATAAATGCATATAAATCAAGAAGTTCCTGGAATAAATTCCAGAGTAGTAGTTTCAACAGTCATTTGTGTTGTAGGATCTGTATAACCATACAACTTTCTTCTTTACACTGTATACATTGCTTGGATTTTTCAATGTCATTTAAACAAGAAAACCATTAACGCTATTAACATATAACATGTGATCAGTGCTACCTCACCAAAGCAACCACTATTTTACATGTATTTCCTGTTGGGCTCTATCCTACATGTTTTTCAGCTCACTGATGTGAACATTTTCCACAATCACTTTAGTGTCTACAGAATATCCCAGGGTAGGGACCAATCAAATTTATTTAAGCAAATCCATTTTGGTCACTTTAGTTGCTTCTAATTTTCAGTTATAATAACACTGTTACAGAATGAATTGTGTCTTATTAGAATTCATGTTAAATTTCTACTCCACAATGAAATGATATAGATGACTAGGTTTAGGTAAGGGCGGGGCTTCTGTAATAGAATTAGTGCCCTTTTAAAGAGACACCAGAGAGCCTGTTCTCCCTAACAAGTGAGGACACAGCACAAAGGTCACCACCTGCAAATCCAAGGAAAGAGGCTTCAGCACTAAGACAATTTGTTGTTTTAAGTCACCCAGTAGTATTGACAATGATCACCTGCATATATAAATTATAATTTTCTTTATCACATATTTCCTCAGGAGAGATGTGTGGCAACAGAGGAAGGCCATGAACCTGGCTGAGGTGCTTCTGACTTCACTTCTGAGATAAGTCATCATCTCATAAAATTTACCTGGAATCTCTCACAGGCAAGTAATCTTGTTATCTAGGAGACGTTCACTGTAAGTAAAGGGGCGAGGGGTGTGGGTGTAGCACCTTTAGAATAGAGCCTCTTGAGCGAGTTTCATTTTGGATTTCAAGAGTTTTGGGAGTTTACACATTGTTTACTTAGGGATAATACTCATAGCACCTCTAACCTGTCAGGGGCTGGGTCCCCAGCACTTTCTGAGTTCTTTTAATTAATCTCACATAAGGCAGGGATGGAAAAACAGATGCAGAAGATGCTAAAATCCAGCAGACACACCTGTCAGTCTTCAATGCCTTAGTGCTTCCTCCCTCCCTGTCCAGAAACTGCCAGATGGATCCAATAGCCAGAGCCATTTAAGGAGATCTCAGGTTTGAGTTGGTCCACCCCTCTGTCTGACAATGCCCCCCTCAACCACAAGGGGGCTCCAAGTACCAGCCTCTGGATAGGTTCAACAGAGAGGGAAGGAGTAGCCAGGGAGACCCTTTTTCCTGATCTTAACAGTGAGATGCTCAAAACTTTTCCACTAAGCATGATATTAACTTTTGAAGATGGTCTTTACCAAGTTAAGGAAGTTCCCGAATATTCCTAGTTTACTAAAAAGAGTACTGATTGCGAATGGGTTTGGCTTCTGACACTTTGTATGCATTGATGGATTTGATTTTTCAAATGTTGGGACAGTCTAGGATAAACCCACTTAGTAAGTGGTACCTAGTTGTTTTTATTTTATTCATGAGGGTTTTCCTGTCTTATAATCTGTCTTCCAACGTCTGATCTTGCTATTAGGATAGACACCTTTCCCCAAAACCCAGCAATGATGAAGAAATCCAGCAGCATGCCTGCTGCCAGGCCCTATAAGGCATTTTCAGTCTGTCAGCTCACTTACAAAACCTCACTTCCATCCTGCAGGGGATTAGCACCACTACCCACGCTGATTTTATGGGAACTATGGCTTGAAAAGGTGCTGTGATGTGGCTGATACCATGCAGGATTGAAACCCTGCCTTGCCTGATAAGAATCCTTCCATTGTACAGTTTTTGGTCCCCAAGAGCTGACAGGCTTGGGAGAGCCAGAACCCGGTGGGGGCTGAAGTGCGGTACCTGTAGCTGCTGCAGCTCATTCATGTTGCTCTCACACTGGGCCACCATGTCCCGCACCTGGTTCTCATGTTTCTGCTGCTGCTGCAGACGCTCTGACTTTTGCCTCTTCTCCTCCTGCTGGGAGAACTGCAGAGAGAGGGTGCCCCAAGGAGAACCCATCAGAGAGGCTGGTCTGTGCACGTCCTGCGGCACTAGGGCTATTTTAAGTCCGCGTGAGTTGGGACATGCTAGGGTAGGGTCCAGAATCATTGCCGCCAGAGCCACACATAAGACACACAAGTGGGTGGAAAAGAAAAGCAGTTACTGGCAAACGAAGTCCAAGGTGTGGAAAGGAACAGTGCGTGAGAACACAGCTAAGTCCACAGCACAAGGCTGTGTGTCCACTCCCACACCGAGAAGGGAATGCCCCACTGAGATGGAAGCTTCCAGGTTGATTCTCTCAAGTCTTGCTCTGTCCCCACATACCTGCTTGATCTTCTCACGCTGCTCAGCAGCGGCCGCACCATTGATGTGCAGGCTCTTCTTGTACATGGCCATGCGCGTCTTGCCCTCGCTCCTCTGAATCTTGGGCAGCCGCGCCTTCTCCTGCTGCTGCCGCACCTTCAGCTGCTCCATCATGCGCTGGTTGTAGCGCTGCATCTGCTCCCGCTCCTGAGGGCACAGCCATGGGGGCAGGTCAGCTGCGCTCAGGCTCAGAGGCCAAAGACTGCCACATCCACCTCAGGAGCCCAGGACGCACCACACGACCCCGCGTGCTCCACAGAGCAAGGTATGTGTTACTTTACTTCTACTGTTACTTAACATTCTGTTCTCCCTTCTAAAATCAGGCTTTAGCTTCCTACCTTTTCATCTAATCATGGTAGCAGATGTCAATTACTGTTTTGCCTAACACTTACTTGCATTTCAAAACTCAGCCAGGACATAACCTCCTCCATAAAGCTTTAAGCCAGCCTCCCTCACTTACTGAGGTGAAGGTGTCACTGCCCACACCTGGGTTTATCTGTCTTTGTCCCCAGTAAGGGGGCTGAACTGAGACAATGGCCTACAAAGCGGGGAGGCTTCTTATCAGATGTGGTGTTTACCTAAAAGCATTCTGAGGGGCTGTGGAAGAAAGAGAAAGCTACATGCACAGGAGTCAGTGCAGGAGCTGCATGGGTTGCCCATTCTTGGCCCCTCTATCTGAGGCAGGACATCCCCAAGAACCCCCCCAGGGGTCCACAGTGGCCATGAGTCTCACCTTCTCGTGCTTGCGCACCAGCTCATGCCGCTGCAGGAAGTACTGATCTTTGAGCTGCTGCTTCGCCAGCTGGTGCCTCTCTTGCAGGTGATGCTCCTCCATCTCCCACAGGGCAGCCTCCCGGTCTGCAGGGGACACACCCCCTGGTGAGGTGCTGACTGCCAGGGCCCAGCAGGGAGGCTCAGGGCTCCTCTGGCAATAGCTAACAGCTATGCCACTTCTTTATGTTGGCTGAACTGACTAAGCCAACACCTAGAAACTTCCTTAAATATCGAATTGATGATGGCTCTCAGCAACAAGAAGGTTTCTGAGGCAGAGACACTGGAGACCTAGGCTAGAGTCAGCTCTATCACTGGGCTTTGAAATGAGTAAACAATCTATGTCTCAGCTTCCATCTGTGTCAAATGGACACAACCATACCCTCGGGAGACATTGTTATGGACTGGCGGGAAGGGCTCATGTGGGAGCCCCATGAAAAAAACAGGAGAACCACTGGTCTCTTCCTCTTCCTTGTCTCCTGCATGTCCCACATAGGCATTATCAACACAACAGTATCTGGCATTTTATCAGTGGAAGCCCCAAGAATAGGGCAGAGCACTGGGTCAGATGGAGACCCTTCTGCTCTATGAGACAGAGGTCACAAGTGTTCGGTTTATTTCACTGTGTCCCTGCATTGGGAAGACCTAGATCTCCCTCACACTACAGTGGAATAGATACTTGGCTTCCAAACCAAAATCAGAACCACCACCCTCAAGTAGGATGATGCTCGTGGACATTTCAGATCAAAAGAAGGAAGTTAGGGCTCCCCTGAAACATGAATGGCTCTTTTAGAATGTCAGCACACTGAGGACCCCACTTTGCTCAACTACACTGGCCGAGCACCTGTCACGGTCACTGACACTTCAGCCAGCGAGGGACCGCCTGCACACATGGCCCAAATGGGTTAGCTCACTGAGGTTTATGTAGTGTCAACTGTGATGTTAGCACCTCGCAATCACCTAACAATGTTTTTCATTGTGGATCTCTGTGCCTGTCTGCCAAGAAAACATGATTAATAATCCTTAAAGCATAAGTGCCTAATATCATAGATCAAAAGACCACACTATAGTTATATAAGCCACAGATAGCACTGGTGCATTAGACCTGCCATGTGTACTTCTTCGTGGTAGGCCAGAACCTCAAAAATCAATAGGCACCAGCTCAACTTCTCCAGATGTTTTAAAATGGGGCTCAAAACAAGCAGATCTAACCACTGAATGCCTGCTTGCCTTACATAACCAAAACACTGCACCCTGCATTTGTTCATGTAGCTAAGATTAAACCCCAAGGCCAGCTTCCCCTGCCACATGACATGAAAATATGTACATCTCTTTGGGCCCACTCTCTGACCCCATTTCCCCCCATGAGCCCCACTGCCCTCCTCCCTCTGGGTGGCAGAAGTTCTCATAAGCGATTCCCCAGCATGCAGCTCTGTCAAAATGCCACCACACCACAGTAGTTAGGAGTTCAGGTAAGATTTGTGTCCAAGGCAAATCGTGGGTCAACTACACATTAAAACTCTGCGTCCTCAACCAAAGGGCAGCCACCCTCCACTCATTGGTTTCACTGTCATCAAAAACAGCTAGAATAGTAGACCTGCCTTGTAGGGTAAAGGTGAAGATCCAGTGAGACAAAGGCATGAGAATTGACAGAATTGACAACCTGGCTGAGCACTTGCTGGACATCTGATGCTGTCACAAGGGGCTCTGGAGCTGTCCCCACCCGCCACCACCCTGTTAACCCAATTCACTTCCATCACCCACCCCCTTGACACCTGGGATAATATCAAATTGCACTGGTAACAACTGGCGCCCATGCCAGGTCTCTGTGGACTTGGGTGAAAATTTCCCTCATGTTGCACCAAGAAGGAAGATGTATGTTTGGTTTTAGAGTGAAGAATTAGCTGTTCTAGTTCATTTTCAGAGATTCCAGGTCAGCATGGTACTGCCACTACTGAGCACCCACCTCGAAGGAGCTCTTGCTTCCTCGTGAGGCACTCGCGCTCCTTGTCACAGATCTCCCGTCTGTTGTCAGCGGTGATCCTCTTCATTGCCTGTTCCAGGTCCTCCTTCTGCTTGGCTACAAAGTCCCGGTCCTGTAGGGGAGGGAGAATAGACTTTTACCCAGCTCTGAGTTTAGTGCCTCAACTTTTATCTTATTACAGAGGAAAAGTCGTCATGATGGGGAAAGAAAATATACGAAGGAGAAATTCAAGATGGATCAACCAGCCGTTATGGACCAAGATGTTTTATTTCTTCACTTTTAAACAGTAAGGATGGCTTGCTTTCTTCCCTTTCCCTTTCCTTTTTGCATACAAGAACTGGGGTGTAGGCCAGGGATGCAGCGTAGGGGTAATAAGAGGATTCACCAGAGAGTAGGGAGCAGAACAGGTGGATCTACTGAAATGTACGGAGGGAAGCAGAGGGTGAGGCAGTAGTGAGTCTGAGATCTTGGCCCCCACAGTTAACCCCAGTGTGGTTACCTCTGAGCCCCTTGCTTTCTTTCCCTTGCAGAGTAGGAATTGAACAAGCGCCATCCCTGGTGATGCCATGTTTGCTAAACCAAATCACATGGACTGTGCTATTCTCTGCATCCTTGGGCAGAAGCAGCAGAATGTGCAGAGACTACAGTGGGAGAAAGGGGGGGTGGGGCAGGCTCAGAGAACCTCAGCATGTGAGAAGCTGGTATTATCTTATGGACAGCCAGGGAGCCAACGCAGGGCTGAGGGAGGTGTGACATCATCAGACTTGTAATTTGTATTGGTCAGGGGGTGAGAGAAAGGACTGCAGGGGTGTGGTGCAAAGGAGGGACCCTGGAGAGCAGCTGGGATAATGGCCAGGAGACACAGAGATGTTGTAACTTCATGGATCCAGACATAGTTCAGAAAAAGAACACTGCTTCAGGAGGTAATGAAGAATTGGAGGGAAAGGAGGAGTGAGAAACAACAAATTTGCTAGCCAACAGCAGGGTGGAGGTTGGTGCTCAGAACAGGAACAGGTCTAGGTGACCAGTGCTTTGGTGTCTGAGTCCCCAGAAGATGGCAGGTGGACAGAGGGCTGTGCTGGTTGGTCAGGGCAGTATGACATACAAACAGCCCTAAAACAAGGCTTTGGGGAGATGGATGTCAAGGGCTAGGGTGTTCAGAGATGGGCGAGCTCACTTGCAGTGGAGTCAGAACAATCCGAGAAGGCTGCAGGAGGCGTAAGAGCAGCGTGAAGAGGGGGCTGTACTTGGAAGAGCTAGCCTTTGAGGGCGGGGCGTTAGCAACACCAGCTTGATGATCAGATCACCATTCTCAAACCTAGGAACCCAGGCCCCCCCTCCACTCCGGACTAATGGCCAAAGACTCACCAGAAGCTGCTTTTTCTGAGCATGTTCATCCATCTTCTGCTTCATACATTCCTTCCGCTGCTGGCGTGGGAGCTTCTCCACTTCATTCTTCACCTGCACCACAGACAGAGCAGAGTGTGGCTGGGTCAGGGTATCTCCTGTGCTCCCTAGAGAAGCAATCTTTAACCCCAGAACTCCCAGTTTGGGAACTGAAGATGAAGCTCAGCTTTCCAGGGCTCTCTTTCCCACCCCACCTCTGAAAGGCACTCAGCATTTGTGTGCCACTGGCTTCGGCTGCCCAAGAGCAGACAGGCGTTGTTTTTGACTGCTAAGTATTTGGCCCCGTCTTATAAAAGCCTCTGGTGCCTTTAGGGCAGCACTTCTCCACATTATAAAAAAAAAAAATCTTTTATGCACACAAGAATTGGGAGGTGTTGGGGGGGGGCGGGGTGAGAGGATTCACCAGAGACAGAGTGGGAAGCAGAACAGGCAGACTGACAAAGTACACTGCTGAGGGGAGCAGTGGGTGAGACAGGAGAGATGAGAGGATTCACCAGAGACAGAGTGGGAAGCAGAACAGGCAGACTGACAAAGTACACTGCTGAGGGGAGCAGTGGGTGAGACAGGAGAGACCTGCTGTGCCAGCTCCTGGCCAGGGGTTGAACTCATGCTGCAATGGCTGCCACTAGCTTCATAGTGCCGAGACTTGCGCTACCATAGAAGCCTTAGGCAAAGGTAATTAGAAGGACAAGCTCTGAAGAAAAAATAAAACTGGACTTTACCAAAATTAAGTACTTTTGCTCTTTGTGAGACACTGATAATAAATATTTGCAGAATCCATCTGTGATAAAGGATTGTATCCAGAATATAGAAGGAATGGTGAAAGATAGTAATAAAGACCCAAATCAACCAATGAAATAAATAGGAAAAAGACTTGAACAGGTACTTCATGGAAAGAGATATGTAGATACCAAATAAACACATAAAAAGTACTGAATAGCATTAAGTCATTAATAAATGCAAATAAAGTCACAGTGAGATACCATTTCACATGTCAGAACAGCTAAAATAAAACAATAAACCTGATTTTACTAAGTGCTGATGAGGATATGGAGCAACTAAAGGCTTATACATTGCCATAGAGGTGGAAAACTATACAGTTTTCTGGGGGAAAGCTTGGCAATCTCTCCTAAAGTTGAACGGGCACTTAGTGTCTGCCACCAAGTCGTACCATTATTTTTTTTGGTCACCTCTTCTTCAGTTTTCTTTCTGAATCCTGCCCCTTTATTCTTTGTCTTTAATGGTCTTGCATCAGAGTTTCTCAACCACAGGCCTGTGGGGCAGGGCAATTCTTTGCTGTGGGGCTGTCCTTTGCCTGGCTGGATGTTCCCAACATCCCTGACTTTGACCTACTCTCTCTCCAGTTGTGACAACCAAAATCACTTCTGGTCATTGCCCAATGCTCCCTGGGGTACAAAAGGTTCTGGGATGAGAACCACTGTTTTAGATAGAAGTGCTCCTCTCCCAGTAGACTGGGCCATGACACCCCGCTTCCTCAGCAGGGGTGTCCTGGCTGGTACAGAAGCATGGTTCACCTCCACCTGAGGCGGATGCCCAGGCGCTTTTGACAGCACCGTGCCAGGCATTATCCAACAGAAGAGCCTATTAGTGTAGAACTGCTTTTACAAGCCTGACTCTGCAGATTCCCTGGACATATCATTAGAAGCAGCAGTTTAGGAAAAAGCCTAGAGGTTTCTGCTAATGGCACCGAAACCAGTAAGGAATGAACTCTGTTGAGTACATGTGGGAGGAGGAGGGAACAACCAAAGTAGAACACAATAGGAACACTGACACAGGGCGAGCGCTCGACCTCGCCCTCTCTCCAGCTGAGATCCAGGAGGCAGAAGGGGCAAGCTGAGATTCCTGCCTTTCTAGAACACCTTTGAGAAAGTCCCTGGACATGGTTTTTACCTCAGGAAAAACCTTTTAACTGAAATCTCCTTAGAGATTCTCTCAGAAACATAATTCTCTGCCACTATGGTGATCTAAACTACTTCAGAAATAAGTTGTTGTGGTTAACAGATTTTGTCTAGGAAAACAGGGAAATGGAATTTTGGCAATTTCCTTTCAGACCGGTCAAGTCTTTCAAAATTACTAAGAAATCAGAGCTGTCACACATATCTTCATGGGCGCTAAGGACACTGTATGCAGGAACTGAACAGCAGCCTGTCCATTCTGTTCTCATTGAGTACATGTATCATATACTTGCTTTATTGGTGTATGTAGACACACATATTACTAGATTCAGTTAATTGACATAAAGAAAAAGTATGTCCCCATTCAACTAGCTTGCTAAGAGCGATTTTTCCTATATCTGGCCCTGTAGTGCATCATCAGCTTGATAAATATTGATATTTACATTAATATATTTGTACTTTCTGTGCCTGAGCTGAAATCATGACGTGTTCTCTCACATTCACTGGATCGTAGAGAAATGGACAAGGTTAGCCCTCTGACCTGGTTCCAGGAAAAGTCCACTCAAGATCTGGGACCTTCCTCTCCAGCATCCATGTGTTGATTTCTCTGGTGCTGCTGTGGTCTGGCTAATGCATCTGTGAGTTTATCAGAGGCTGCTAACCTTGGCATTGCACCTCTTCGCAGTTCTGTCCTTTACCCCCAGTGGTGCATCCTAACCGCCAATCCAAAGGTTTCACCAGCACCCGGGAGAATACACAGCCTCTGCCTAGGCCTCCACAGAACTCACAGGGTAACCTTCGAATCCCAGGGGTTCTGAGGACTATGGAGTAGACCGTAGATCATAGATCTGGAAGCAGGGGCCCCTCACCAGTCCCCTGCCAGAAGGATCTCTAGGATCACTCTGGAAACTGGTAATAACAATGGTAATGGCTAAAAACAACCAAAAGGCCTATTGTGTAGCAAGTGCATACTAAGTGTCCACTGCTTTGTCTGCATTCTGTCATTTCATCCACAGCGCTGCTGGCCTGTGGAGAGGCGGGCACAGCTATATACGAGCTTTTCAGGTATAGCAGTTCCCCCAAGTCCCGGTTACTACAGTGGAGTTGAGCTGATATTTCAAATGCTTGTGACCCAAAGGGTCCTAGTACTGCGAGTGTACCTCCTTCTTCATCAGTTTGAGCTGCTCCTGGAAGCGGGTGTAATCGCGATCCTGCTCCAGGCGGATGCGCTTGGTCTCCTCCCTGCGGCGCACAGCGTGGTCCTGCTCCATCTTCTCCACCTGCTGCTTCTGCTGACGCTCCAGGTTCTCCAGCTCTGTGTCAAAGAACTTCTTCTTGGCCTGGAAGTAGCAGAAAGAGAAATCTGCCAAAGTCACTTTGTACCTGGGTGGGAGGTGGGGCGCAGGATAGCGAGCCCAGGGCCTGTGCTTTGACTCCCCACTCCCAGACCTACCATCTTTCTGCTGTTCCTGGACCTCACTGAGACTTTCCTCATTAACACAAGGGAGATCAGACCATCTACCTTTCAGGCTTGTTGCATGGTGCTCAACAAAGGGGACTTCCCTCTAGAGGCCCTCCTGTTAACAGAGGACCACCGTGACCTTCATGCAGCCCTATATGTGCAAGTCAGTGCCTAACACGAGCGGGAAACCAGCACAGCCAGGCAGTTGTGGCCACTTGTCTGCACTGCCCGTCATCCCCAGCCTGCAGATTCTGCCTAGAGAAACCAGGAGGCTGGAAGCACAGTGGAGCGGTCCACCCTCGTGCTTACGTTGACTTCTTGTTCAAAACGTTTCTGCATCTGCTCCAGCTGCAGCTCATGCTTGCTGCTCAGCTGATTCTGGTTCCGGTGCTCTTCTTTCTGGAGCAGTCGAAGCTCTCGGAGTTCCTGGCGCCTGGGGAGTGAGAGGATGTGGACATTTCAGTTGGACAGCAGCCTACGAGACCAGCTATTTCACAGCTGGTGATTTGGAAGGCTGTCCTGGGCAGAGACACAAATAGAATTCAAGACTTCATCTGATACTTACCGATAGATAAAACATTAATAACCTTAACATGAAAAAAAATGCTTACAAATCATTTAAAAATATCCTAATTTTAAAGAGTGAAACAGAACATAGTCAGCCATGAGAGTGAAGACAAAAAAAAAGTTTTACCCATACCTATAGATAAATGAAATTAAAAAGATAACAATTTTAAAGCAAGAGCATTGGGGAACAGATATTTCCACATAACTGCTGACAGGTATAAACTGGTATATATCTGAAGGACAGTTTGTCAAGAACTATGGCTTTGACACAGCAGTTCCACTTCTGGATGTTGATTAAAAAGAAACAGCGATAAAGGCACAACTTAGCCAAAGAATGCTCATAACAATGGTATTTATAATACTACAAACTGGAAACATCTTAAATGTCCATCACATTGGTTTAATTTAAATGCTCTGCTGATGGAATTCAACACATCATTTAAAAATCAAGCTTTAGGAAATATTTAGTTACAAGGAAAAAGACCAATTTAAAATGCATTCACACATTTTTAATCTAAGTGAAACGGTTGAAAAATTGGTCTATGATATTTCCGTACCACTTGGGTGAAAAACCAAAAAGACAGTATCTGTATGTGAACACAAGTGTGTATGAGTCTACTCTCCTATCTAAACACAGTTTCTGGAAGGACTGCACCCTAACATATTAATGCAGGGAGGACTAAGAAGTCTGGCCAAAAAGTAAGGGAAGAGATTTTCACTGTTTATCCTTTTAAAAAAAAAAAATTTTGCGACAGGCCTCCCTGGTGGCGTAAGGCGTTCAGACTATGAAGCCATCTGTATCCACTGTGGCATGAGTTTCATCCTCAGCCAGGGGCTGATCCACATGGCCCAATAGACCTCTGCTGTCTCACCCACTGCTCCCTTCAGCAGTGTATTTCAATCAATCTGCCTTTTCTTCTCCCCACTCTGTCTCTGATGAATCCTCTCATCCCCTGCACCCCAGTTCTTGTATGCATAAACAAAAATAAATAAAAATTTTGTACCATATTACTTTACCTATTCATAATATGATCTATAGAGCCCTCCCTGGTGCCACAGTGGGTAAATGCAGCACTAAGAAGCTAAAGCTGCTTCAGCACGAGTTCGATCCCCGACCCTGGAGGTGACCCACATGGAGCGGCAGACCTCCCCTGACCGGCCCACTGCTCCCCTCAGCAGTGTACTTCGTCAGTCAGCCTGTTCTGCTCCCCACAGTATACTTAAACCTTATTATTTCTGTCAATGTGCATGTGTGCATGTGTGAGTTCTCACAGAAAAAAATATTAGTGGAATACGCCCCAAAGTATGAATTATTTTTCTCTGGACAAGTTCATGAAAAATGGATAGTTGTTTTTTTTAAAGATTTATTTATTTATGCATAGAAGAACTGGGATGTAGGCCAGTTGGGATGTAGGTGAGAGGACTCACCAGAGACAGTAGGGAACAGAACAGCTAGATCTACTGAAATACACTGCTGAGGGGAGCAGAGGGTGGGCCAGGAGAGGTGTGCTGCCTTATGTGGGTCAGCTCCCTGGCTGGCCAGGGATGGAACTCTTCCTGCAGTGGCTGGTGATAGCTTGATAGCGCCACCAGGAGGCTCCTAGGCATTATTTATATAGTCAGAAAAACCAATTTAAATGCTGCAGAAAGAACTTGGTCTCCTGACTATGAATTAGAAGCTTCAGGGTAGCTCCTAGGGTTTGGGGGCCCACAAAGCCTGTGTCACAATCTGTAGAGTCCAGCTGCCCAACAGCTGGAGAAAAGGCAGGCACACTTCCCAGTCAGAGGAAGCTTGCTTGAACCTTAGCTCTGCTGACTTTCCAGTCAGGTGCCCATCTGCAAAATCGGGCAAAGAATTCTACCACTTAGAATCCTTCAGGGTTAAAAGAGAGGATGCATTCTCCTGCCTGGCGCATGGGAAGGGCCCCCTAAGCAGTACCTACTCACGTGAAAAGGTAACTGCGGCCCAAGTCTCTAGGAGGAGCCAGACACTGTCTACAGCCACCTTAAAAAGCATCTGCTCAATCTCTCTCTTGTAAATAAGAAGGGAAGAACAATTTTCTTGTTTCTCTTCTAAAATATTTATTTATGCATGCAAGAACTGGGGTATAATCCAGAGGGCAGGGGTGAGAGGATTTACCAGAGACAGAGTGGGGAGAAGAACAAACAGATCTACTAAAATACACTGCTGAGGGGAATAGCGGGAGAGACAGGAGAGGTCTGCTATGCCATATGCGGGTCAGCTCCCTGGCCAGGGACTCAACTCCCTGGCCAGTGACAGTGCTGAAATTCACCCCCATGCCACCAGGGATGCCCTGGAAGCATCAGTTTTCAAGTGAAATTCTCACTAAAGAGAAACTAAGGTTCAGCAAACACACATACAAATACAGGAAGGAAGTAAGGCGGGAAGGGCCTCCCTGACCTAACATGAGTTCTCACAGGGAACACAGGCAAAGGAGAAGGCTGATGTCCCAGGAAGAAGCTGGCACCAAAAATTCTAGGAAAAAAGAAGGAACTCTGACCTAGAATCTTCCATCTGGAAGAGTGACTATTTGGTCACATGCTTTCAAAGCCTACATCTGATTCAACCCTCCAATATTTCTGGGATCCCCCTAGGCCCAGGGGTGTGAGCAGAGCCCCCACGCCCTATAGCATGGGGCCTGGCAGGCCACCAGGCTGCTCAGACCTCCAGTCACCAGACAGACAAGAAAAGCCTTGTTCTTTTTTATCCCTTTCTTGGACGAGAGTTTACTGGAGAAAAGGACTGTGTCATAGTATCTCCCCACTGGGCACTTATTAATGTTCTTGTTTTTCTGTCCCTCCCTCTTCACCCCATCCTCTGCATCTTCTGGTCCCTTTCCCTCCCTGCTCCCACTAAAACTCCGAGAACTCAGAGTGTTTATTGGTGTCCACTGGCTTTTGGATGTAACAGTCTCCTGTGTAAGTGGGCAGTATTTGTTTGTATTATTCTGACTTGCCTGATTACACATAGTTCTCTCAAACTCTCCCCATTTTTGTTGCAAATACAGCTCATCTTCCTTACAGCTGCATAGAAATCCACTGTCAACTAGAGCACTTCTGACCCAACTGTTGGTGAACATTTAGGCTGCAACCACATTCTAGCTATTAGAGTGAGAAAGCACTGAAAGTATAGTCTTCTAGTTCTTGCAAATAAAACCGCTATTTATGTACATTGTGGTATGCATGCTTTTTATGACAATGGTTTTACATTCTTTGGCTAGATGCCTGGGGATGGGACCACTGAGTCACACAGCTTTTACATTTTTACTATGGTCAGTCCAGACTGCTCTCCATAATTGCTGCACCAGTTTATGTTCCTACCAAGAAAAGCCTGTTCTTGGTGAGCATCTCCCTCTTAATCCATCTTGGCCAAGACTCACGGTTCAAACACAGCCAAACTCTGCTTAGGAGGAGGGTGGGGGGCCCAGTGCCTGGGGCAAAGGGCAGCACTGCTAGTGGGGTTGAGGGGAATCTGGAATTTCAACCCAAGAGCCTCAGCTACCCAGAGGGAAGCTAATGGAACCCAGCCGTTGAAGTGTGACCCTTGAACATTTGTTCAGGTCACCTCCATTAACACAAAAGTTGGTATCAGACTCTCCCTGGTGGCATAGCGGGTTGGAGCCCTGTACTGAGAAGCTAAGCCAAGCTGTGGCCACTCTGCGTGTTCGATCCCTGCCCTGGAGCTGACCCACATGGCACAGGAGACCTCTCCTGCCTCACCCACTGCTCCCCTCAGCAATGTATTTCATCAGTCTGCTCCCTAGTCTGGTGAATTCCCCTCAGCAACCATCCTTCACCCCACCTCACCCTGCGCCTCCCCAACCCACACAGGTGAGGACACCATCATGTGTACACATGCGCTCACACACTAAACACCACGAACAAGAAGTCTGCCTGTGCTCCTTCCAAAATGACTTCTACTTGGCTTCCGAATGTCTGTGCTTTTTGCCCCCATATTTATTTTTATATGTGTATACATAAAGAGCTGGGGTGTAGGCCAAGGTGTGGGGCATGAGAGGATTCACCAGAGACAGGGGACAGCAGAACAGTGTATTTTTTTAAATACACTGTTACGGGGAGCAGCAGGCGAGACAGGAGGGGTCTGCTGCACCATGTGGGTCACCTCCCTGGGCAGGACTCGAACTCAGGCAGCAATAGCTTGATAAAGCTTAGACCTTAACCCCTGAGCCGCCAGGGAGGCCCCATGTCTGTTATTTTTTTTTTTTTTTAAAGATTTATTTATTT